TGTCTGTCTTAGATGTGGGCTCCTCAGAACCAGCTGTGCCTAATTCCCTGGACCTAGTGGCGACCACAGAGCCCGGTTCCTAGAAGTTGGTGCCCAGTGACCTTGACGTGGCCTTGTACCAGGGCCCGGGTGGATGTGGCACCAGGGGCTGGAGAGCCCGGTTCTGCCTATGAGGCTCACTCTTTCACCCAGAGGGCAGGGCRTGGGTCGAACACTCACCAGATGGGTAGTGGTACCCAAGTCTGTCCCCAGCCTTGCTCCTCTCAGAAGGAGGCGGCATCCAGCATCCTGGGGTGGGGCCCCTCTGCAGCAGGGGGCTCTGCACTTGGGTCCTTGCCCGGTTGTAGACTTGGAGGCCCACCCATGGCTCTGCTGTCGTTCTGCGGGAGGTAGCTGGGGTGTTGCCCTGTGGTGGTCGGTGGCCTGTGGTCCTGTAGAGTGACTTCCTGGAACAGGCGTTCCTTGGAGCACCTTGTTTGGGGAGTGAGGGGTTGTGTGGGCAGAGGCTGGTGCCTGGTGCRCTGCTAACCTGGAGGAAGCCTGAGGAATGGCATGGTACTCCCATGTCACAAGCAGACGTGGGGACCGGTGGCCTCAGGGCATGAATGGAACCGGCACCCAGGGCAGCGTTCCCGTGCTCCCAGCACAGTACTGCCCTCTGCGCACCCTCGCTCACGGCTGTGGGACACGGGACCCACCCCGGGCACACAGAGGCCCACGAGGCTTCTTCACTGCCTGCCCACGTCCTGTGCCTCTTCTGGGTCGGCTTGGTCGACTGTGTCTCGGGCAGAGCGAGGGCAGAAGGGCCACCTGGGCTTTTCACTAGAGCCTGAGTGGTTCTGTCTTTGCACGTGGTGCCGCTGCTCAGGGGCCTCGTTCTTGGGGTCTGTCTTTTCTCTGAATGTGTTGACCTGGACACAAGGAAGAAAAACTCACTAATGTTAAGTGGGACTGGGACTTTGATGGGGCTGTGCCCCTTCCTGCTCCTCCATCCCTCAGAGGCCCACGGAGCGGCTGCCTGCTATCCTCGGGGCCTTGAGACCCACGATGGCCGCGCTGACCAAGAGTAGGCCGTGTGGCCGCAGGTTCCAGGAGAAGTAAGCACCAGGCCTGTAGAGCCAGGCCACCCAGGGACGTGAACCCTGTTGGTGTTTTAGAAACGCAGCCTAGATTTCAAGAACAGGAGGGTTCCTGGGTTCAGCCTGCGGTGTGGCAACCCGCATCAGCCGTCGGGTGCCTGCACATCACCCCAGGGTAGCCACCGAAGAGCCTCTGCACCGCTGCTCTCTGTGCTTAGACTCATTCCCTGTGTCTAAGCCCCAGCTGCACACAGGGCAGGAACCGAGGCGCACAGTCCTGGGTCTCATAGGCTTGGGTTCCTGGGGAAATGGGCCAGAGACAGCACCCTAGAGGTGGTAAGCCAGGAAAAAGGTGGGGTGAGGGTGCTCTGGGGCCCGCACATTTCAGCAGGGCCCTGTGTGATGAGCGATGGGGTTTGGAGAATGTCTGGGCAGGGCCTTCCCAGCTGCAGGAAGAGCCTGTGCAGAGGACCTGGAGTGGACGGGCTTGGGGGCTGGGGCCTGCAGGGACAGCACAGAGCCAGGCGGAGCGGGGCAGAGACTGCAGGAGCAGCCACATGGGGCCTGGAGAGCTCAGGAGTCCTGGTGGGGGCGGGGCCTGGCGGAGACCACTGATTGAGGAGAGCACAGAGCTGGGCGCAGGAAGGAGCAGATGACTGATCGAGGCCAAAGCCGGGGTGCAGGTGCTCAGAGGGGACAGGTGGAGGTCATGCTGACGGTCGGGCAGTCAGGGTGTGTGTGACCAGGCGAGAACTCTGGCTTCTGGGCTGGTTGCAGGAGGTGCCAGTGACAGGTGGCGGGCTGGGGGAGGAGCTTTGGGACCAGCCCCAGGATCTGGTTTGCGCCCTGGAAACTCAAGCCACCCTTTTGGCTGTGGTTCAGCCTGTTGGAGCCCAGCCTGTTGGAGCCCAGCCGGGTCTGCCTGTGCCTCGAGGGGCCCAGACTGCCCTGGCGTCAGCTCGCGGCTCCTGGGGTTGTTCTGGTCACACGCCTGCTCACTCCTGGCACGAGTTCCGGAGGGCAGGTGCTAAGTGCCTCTTCATGTTGCCTTCCTGATGTTAGAAAGTGCTGTGTTGCAGACATTTTCACACACACACACACACACACACACACACACACACACACGTCTCCATATAGGGCAGACAGGTTAGCAAGCCTTCCGGTGCTCCTACTGAAGCTGGGTGTGGCGCTTAGTGGCCCGGAGCCTCTGCTCACAGGGGCAGCATCGTGAGTCACGGGACTCGCAGAGCTGGGAGGAGGGGGAGAGGCCCTGGGTTTCCTGGAAGCCCATGGGGGTTGGGCTGGTCCAGGGCCCATGTGGCCAACCTTGGCAATGGCAGGGCAGGGCGGAGCTTGGGTGGGGTGTGTGGCGGAGGGAAGCCTCAGACGCACCGGAGGGCAGGCAGGAGGGCAGGCAGGAGGGCAGGCAGGAGCACACAGGCCCCGCAGAGCCTGGCTTTGTAAAGATGTGGGCAGCCTCTGGAGGGTTTTGTGCAGGGGAGTGGCATGACCTCAGAGGACAGCTTTGAGCAACCAGAGGCGGAAAGGGATGGTTGGCGGGAAGGAGAGGTGAGCCCCGAGCTGGGAGAAGGTCAGCAGGCGGGCACCAGGAGCCTGAGGAGCAGGAGAGGCTGGAGGACTCCACCACCAGGGAGGCCGGGGGCTGCTGGGTGGGCTTCTCCACCTGCACCTGGCTGGGGTTTGAGGATGTGCCCAGCTTCACCTTTGACCCCCGCCTTGCTCCTATGGTCAGGGAAGGTCTCTGAGGACACAAGGCCTCTTCCACACTGCGGCTGGCTGCCTCTTTCTTTGCTGTTTAGGAGTTGAGTGTCCTGCCCTTGCTTGGAGGTAGTGTCAGGACCCTGTCCCAGGGCAGTCTGCTACCCGCCCTGGAGAAAAAGCTGTCATTCCGGGGACACAGCCCTGAGGCCCGCAGGACACATGGCCACGGGTGGGAGGAGGGCTGTGTGTGAACGGGTGCATTGAGGCCAGCGTCGGTGCTGTGAATGCAGCCTCAGCACCTGGCTCTTCTCCAGCCAAGGGCAGGAGAGGATGGCTTAAGGCCCCAGGCACCAGCTTCTGTGGGTGCCGCCGATCCCTTGGAGGACTGCAGGGCCCTGCCTACCTGCCAGCACTGCTCTTCTGTCTCAGCACTGACTCGGGGCAACAGATCCAGCCCCTGCCCGTGACAGAGTCCTGATTCCCCTCCAGGGAGCACAGTGGTGGTCTCTGTGCCTGCCCACCCCTGAGGCCTGGCCTTTGCCCCAGGCCACATTCGTGGTGGTGAGAGGGAATCCAAAATTCTGGTCCCTCCTCGGGTTGATCCTAGGTGGCTCTGCTGACCTCCACGTGCGTCCCCAGTGCTTATGGGACAGTGCCTGCCCCTGGGCCCAGCAGGACCCGCTCTCCCTTGGCTCACCTGCCTGGACAAGGCTGGCCCACCCAGAGGTGCCCCACTCCGGGGTGACGCCGTCCCCGTCCGGGACTCGGAGGGAAGGGGGTCATCCAGTAGCTCTCCTGGCCCCTCCCTCACCGTGGCCCTTTGAAAGAAGTCAGCGCGGTTCTAACTTAGCGCCAAGTCGCCTTTCTAAGCAGCGCCAGTGGCTTCTCCACCGCGGGGAGGAGCCAGCCCAGCTCACCCAGCTCCATCCCTCCCTGCTGGCCCACCAGATGCCAGCTTGCACCTCCTGGGCAGCCTCTGGCCCCCACCAGGAGGCTGCCCCTGCTCCGGGACCTGTCCCTGTGCCAGCACCAGGTTGGAGTCCTCTCGTACAGAGAGCACGGAGCTCCAGCCCCAGAGCTCGGGGGCTGCCTGCAGTTCTCCGCACGACCCTCTCCCTCCTGGAGAGCTTTTGGTGCCGGAGTTCGTCCTTCTGGGGTCTTGCAATTACCGGGAAGCCTCACCGGAGCTGCTGAGGGCTGGTCTCTCAGCCACTGGGGCTAGCGGTGGTGACAGAGGTGACGATCGCGGAGACGCTGCTCCCTGTCCCTGCACCTGGCTCACGTGGATCACCCTGTTCGATCTTCACACAGACCTGCTCTGTCGGTGCTGTTGTGCCCCAGGTCACAGATGGGGCGGAAGCTCAGCAGGGTACACAGCATACCAGAGCCACAGGCTGCCATGCAAGCCGCTCTTCTCTTGCAGAGGTGCGCCGGGGCCTGCGTGTCCCCGAGGCACACCCGCGTTGTTCGGGTGCTCCTGAGTGGCCACCTTGGCAGAGGGAACCTGGGGCCACGTGGGGTGAAAGTTGCCCTCTGTCAGCTGCCGGTGTCACAAGCCACCAGCCACCTTCTTTGTGTCCAGACCCTCTCCCGGTTGTGTCCCTGTCTCACGAGGGCAGACACCTCCCACAGAGCCCCGTCCCTGCCTGGTAGCAGCACAAGGGTCAGTAAACGCCCCTGGTTTCACGTGCACGTGCCACGCTGCAGATCCCCGTGGCCACTGTGCTTCCCACGTTCATTTGGGGCCCGGGGCTGGGGATGTGGCAGGGAGCACCCCTCCAGGCCCTGAGAGCAGCTGCGCTGCCCGCTCAGTGCTGCCCAGGTGCCAGGTCACCCACACTGCTCCTCCCAGGGGACCAGCTGCCCTCAGGACAGACGAGGCCATCTGTGCTTTCCAGAGCCCTGGATCTGGCAGCGTGGCCTGCACGGTCCTGTGTCGTCYTTTGACTGCTGAATGGGCGGACCAGGTGCTGGGGCACATCTCACAAGCGCCATTGTGCCCCGGGAGGAGTGGCCGCATGCCCAGCGGGCTGAGGAGATGGCACAAAGTGGGCACAGTGCAGGCCGCTGGGCTCCCGGGCCAGGAGAAGAGAAACGGCCTCTCATGGAAGGGCCTGGGGTGTTCCCCCCTCCCCTGAGAGGACCCTCGAAGCCATGCTGCTCTTGCTCAAGGGAACTTTCTTCCTCCTGTTCTTTCAGGAAGAAGCACGCTGCCGAGTTGCCGCTGCGCAGCTGGGTTGCTTGAGACAGAAGCACCGTGGCTGCTCCAGGAAGCAGAGGAAGAGACATGTGCCCATAGTGGACCCCTGGCCCAGGGTTTCCAGATGGCGGCCCAGCGGATCCGAGCAGCCAACTCCAGTGGCCTCCCTCGGTGCAAGTCGGAGGGGACCCTGATCGACCTGAGTGAGGGGTTTTCAGAGACCAGCTTTAATGATGTCAAAGGTGAGCCCTGGTCAGCCACGGAGGAGAGGACTGGGGCTGCCGATGCCTCAGACCCAAGGGCCCCTCTACCCAACAGGCACCGGCTTCACGCTCAGCTGAACTGCAGCTCTGCATCCTGTTACAAATTCCTCCCTGCAACGGCGGCCCCTGGTCTGGGTGTTTGGTGTGGGGAGGCGGTTTTGATGGGACCCCTCCTTTGTCCACATGTCTCTTCTCTTGGTGACAGTATTGGTGACAGTAAGAAGCTTGGTGGTTCTGACATCTAGGGAAAGGAGGGTGTTGTAAGTAGGTGAAATATTGGGAACCACCAGAAGAGAAGGAGGTGGCCTGGGGCAGGGAGGAGACCTGTCCTCGCAGGGTCTGTCCTTTATTTTAGTCCCACCCTGGCCTCCAGCTCTCTGCCACAGCCAATCAGTGAAAGCAGACATAGACAGGGTGACCAGGTGGACATGCCTGGGTGCTGGTTCAGCTTTACAGAGCCAGCCGGCCAGCCACGTTGGATCATGTGACCCCGTGTCGAGAAGGTGGCCACAGGGTCCGGTCACCGGGCTCGCTGGCGGATGGCCTCATCGGGTTGGGTTGAGGAGGACCCCGATCTTGAGACACTTTGGAGACTTCCGGCTTCCTCGGCAACCACCCTAGGCCACGTCCAGGGTCGCGTGCTCCCTGGTGCCCTGGCAGCTGCAGCTGTGGCTGTATTGTCACAGGCTTTGACCTTCTGAGTAGTTGACGCAGTTGATCACCCAGGTCCTCCCGGAGCACGGCTGGGCAGGAGGGACTTTCCCACAGTCCTCCAGATGCATGTGTGCCCCCACCCTGCGTCCGCAGCAGCCTGGCTGCTTGCCCGTTGATTGGCAGCTGCCCTCCACCACATCCCTAGCGCCTCCCTCGTCCTGTCCCTGCTTTACACTTGCTGCCCCGAGCATCACTTTGAATAAGAGCAGCACCTGGAACCGCCAGGGTGGTCGGCAGCAGGGTTCAAGCGGGTCACCATAAACAACCAAGCCATTCACTTCTCAGCCTGATCACGGGCATTGTTTTCTTATTTTATAGCCAAACAGGCAGGTTTAAAGCTGGAGAGTGGAGCCTAACTTGGGGGCTATGGGCCTTAAAGTAACCAGCGTACAGAGCCCAGTGTTTTAAAATAATGATGATAATCCTGAGCAGGAGCAGGGCCAGTTCAGTGGTGGAGAAGGCAGCCGAGAATTAGGTCAGATAGGACCTCAGACCTCCACCCACGTGAGACCCTCTGGAGTCTGACGGCCAGGGCTGGCCGGCAGCTGCCCACGCACCATCCAGGTGCAGACTTCCAGGGGAGTGCACCCTGCAGCCAGGATCCCTGCCAGGAAGTCTTCTCCCCTCTGGGCAGAGGATAGTAAATGTATCACTGGGTGCACCAAACTGTAACGCTCAGGGAAGTTTGGGTATTAAAATCGAGGTAACTGTGCATATGGGTACGCTCCCCAGACTTCATTAAATGGGATTCGACAGGGATTTCTGGCACTGGATGGGATGGGTCCTCGGGTGCCCCTTGGCAGTGACTGATGGAGGCCACATACAGAGAGTCCCACCACAGCCCACCTCCGTGGGGTCTCCACGGGAGGAGGGYCCTTCCCCTCGGCTACGTCTGATCCTTGGGCCAAGTGTGTTGTGCTTCTCTTCCGAGGAGAGTGCTTGGGATTTTAAGTAAAGCCATCTCATTCTTCAGTCTGGCAAAACTAACATGATAATTCRCGTTGATACGCGTTAGGCTATGCACAACGCATGCGTAATTGCTTTGGTTTTTTTTTTTTAATACTGGAGATATTACTGTAGGGGAATTAATTACTCCAGAGGAACAATAATGAGGCTATAACTTTGGAGGGACTGTAACAGGATTTTAAAGGCTGGCGAGCTWTATGCAAGTCTCATTTGATTTTCATTTTTATTTCCAGTGGATGTGTCGAGGAAATAGTATGGTCTGTGTGGCCGGAGACCATGACCAGCCACAGGAACAGGAGAGAGGCTGCTGGTCACAGAAGTCCACTGACCTCAGCCTGACCCAACTCCCTGTTCCCTCAAAGCCATTCTTGGGGCTTAGAAAATGATACCTCAACAGGAAGCACAGACTGTCTGACCTCCTGCCCTCCCATCTCTCGTGCTCTTCCTCTTTCAAGGAGCGGGGAGAAACTAGAATTCCTCTTCCCTGGCGGGGGTCAGAGGAGCCAGAGCCCCCTGCCAGCTGGGAAGGTACCACCCTGACCTTGCTGGGTGGAAGGATTTAGGGTGCTCCCTCCACAAGGGGAAAGGAGTACAGCCGAGGGGCCAGGAAGGGTCTGCGGACAGGCCGCTGGCTCTCTGGGCTCCGCGGCTCTGGTGCGCCTGCCTCTGCGCGGCTGCGGCGGTGTCTGCTCACCCACTGTAACTGCGTGTCTTTGGGTCTAATCTGAAGACTCCCAGGTCCCGCAGAACCGCGCTACCTCGGAGTTAGTGGTGCCTCTGTCCTGTTGGTCTGCTTCAGGCCTCCCCGGGAAAGCGGGCTTCCTGCCCCCTTCCCTGCCGTCTTCCTCTCGCTCCAGCCCCCACTTGGTGCAGATCTGCTGCTGTGACCCCGCAGCAGAAGGGCCCAGCCAGGGACAATTCTGACTTGGCCTTGGGCCCACACCTTGATCCAGGAGCCAGGGTCTGGCCCTGCTAGGGCCGGGGACATCCCCAAACAGAATGTCCAAGTGTCAGAGAGGGCCTCTCCTCTCCCTTCCCTGCTGAGGCCTGTGACAGGTGCAGAGCACACGGAACCTTCCTGGGGAGAAGACCCACGTGAAAGCTCGGACCCAGAGGTGTCTGTCTGTGAGGGCGCCACGGAGTGTGGAGGGACGCGGTGGGACAAGGTGTGGGCTCCGGGTGGACGGGCGGCCGGGCCTGTGGGAGCCGTCCCTGGGCCTGGAGATGAGGATGCCCTTGGGGACGGGAGTGGGAAGGCCCCACAAGATGTTCCCAGGAGCTGGGGTTGGGGAGCCGTGGGCTGAACCCCAGGGGTTCCATACGCTGTGGTTGGCAGCAATGAAAGAGGCGGGGACTGCGCCCCACAGCTGTAGCTGGGGAAGCTGTAAAGCCGCAGGCCCGCCCTCGACACCCCACGGCTCCCCACGCCCCGCCCCGTGCCTTCCCCTGTCCACACACCCATTGGGCCTCTGTCACACAGTGCTGTCCTCTGTCTCGGTCCCACAGAGAACACGGACAGCCGATGGCATTCCACAGGACCCAGCACTGGCCCAGGCCACTGGACGTTCTCCCGCCTCGTTGGCGTTCCCTAAAAACCATTTGCGTGTCCCCCAAACTCGCCTGCACCCCCTGCCCTGCTGTATAGAGTGGGTTCTGTGTGCTCCGGGCCGTGGTCTCCCCTGTAGGCCTTCCCCCTTCGCACATCGGCCTTTTTCCACGTGTTTTCTCCTGCCTCACGTCTCTCTCGTGTCTGTGCAGTGCCTTCTCCCAGTGCCTTGCTGGCCGATACCCCCACCCCTTTTGGAAACGCCAAGGAAGTGATCGCCATCAAGGACTACTGCCCCACCAACTTCACCACCTTGAAGTTCTCCAAGGGCGACCACCTCTACGTCCTGGACACGTCGGGCGGGGAGTGGTGGTACGCACACAACACCACCGAGATGGGCTACATCCCCTCCTCCTACGTGCAGCCCTTGAACTACCGGAACTCCACCTTGAGCGACAGCGGCATGATAGACAATCTTCCAGACAGCCCGGATGAGGCAGCCACGGAGCTGGATCTGCTCGGGGGGTGGACAGACGACCAGAAGGGGTCCGGCAAAGCGCACAGTAATAACCCTTTTTGGAGTGGGGTCCAAACAAACCCTTTCCTGAACGGGAACGTGCCGGTGATGCCCGGCTTGGACGAGCTGACTCCCAGAAGCACCGTGGACCTGCTGCTGTTTGATACCGGAACATCCTCCTTCACTGAATCCAGCTCTGCCACCACCAACAGCACCGGCAACATCTTCGACGAGCTCCCGGCCACCCATGGACTCCACGCTGAGCAGCCGGTCAAACGGGACAACCCCTTCTTTAGAAGCAAGCGATCCTACAGCCTGTCCGAGCTCTCCGTCCTGCAAGCCAAGTCAGATGCGCCCACCACGTCGAGTTTTTTCACAGGTTTGAAATCCCCTGCTCCCGAGCAATTTCAGAGCCGGGAGGACTTTAGGACTGCGTGGCTGAACCACCGGAAGCTGGCCCGGTCTTGCCACGACTTGGATCTGCTCGGCCAGAGCCCAGGCTGGGGCCAGACACAAGCCGTGGAGACGAACATTGTATACAAGCTGGATAGTTCTGGGGGTGCCGTGCAGCTCCCAGACACCAGCATCAGCATCCACGTGCCCGAGGGCCACGTCGCCCCTGGGGAGACGCAGCAGATCTCCATGAGAGCCCTGCTGGACCCCCCGCTGGAGCTCAACAGCGACAAGTCCAGCAGCATCAGCCCCGTGCTGGAGGTCAAGCTCAGCAACCTGGAGGTGAACACCTTCCTCATCTTAGAGATGAAGGTCTCTGCTGAGGTGAAAAACGACATCTTTAGCAAAAGCACAGTAGGTCTCCAGTGTCTGAGGAGCGACTTGAAGGAAGGGCCGTACCTGCCCATCCCACTCACCTACAGCCATGGGGACACCGTCCAGGTGCAGCTGGACAACCTGGAGCCCTGCATGTACCTGGCCATTGTGGCCCACGGCCCAAACATTCTCTACCCTTCCACCGTGTGGGACTTCATCCATAAGAAGGTCACCGTGGGTCTCTACGGTCCCAAACACATCCACCCCTCCTTCAAGACGGTAGTGACCATTTTCGGGCACGACTGCGCCCCCAAGATGCTCCTGGTGAGCGAGGTCACCCGGCAGGCCCCCAGCCCTGCCCCCGTGGCTCTGCATCTATGGGGAAAGCACCAGTTCCTCCTGTCCAGGCCCCAGGACCTCAAAGTCTGCATGTTTTCCAACATGACCAACTACGAGGTCAAGGCCAGCGAGCAGGCCCGAGTGGTGAGAGGCTTCCAGGTGAAGCTGGGCAAGGTGAGCCGCCTCGTCTTCCCCATCACCTGCCAGAGCCCTGGCGAGCTCTCGGACTTCACGCTGCGGGTGCAGGTGAAGGATGACCAGGAGGCCCTCCTGACCCAGTTCTGCATCCAGACGCCACAGCCTCCACCCAAGAGTGCCATCAAGCCGTCCGGGCAGAGGCGGTTTCTCAAGAAGAACGAGGTGGGGAAGATCATCCTGTCCCCGTTTGCAGCCACCACCAAGTACCCGACGTTTCAGGACCGGCCCGTGTCCAGCCTCAAGTTCGGCAAGCTGCTCAAGACGGTGGTGAGGCAGAGCAAGAACCACTACCTGCTGGAGTACAAGAAGGGGGACACGGTGGCGCTGCTGAGCGAGGAGCGCATCCGGCTGAAGGGGCAGCTATGGACCAAGGAGTGGTACATCGGCTACTACCAGGGCAAGGTGGGCCTGGTGCACGCCAAGAACGTGCTGGTGGTCGGGAGGGCCAGGCCCAGCCTGCTCTCGGGCCCCGAGCTGAGCACCTCGGTGCTGCTGGAGCAGATCCTCCGGCCCTGCAAGTTCCTCACCTACATCTACGCCTCGGTGCGGACCCTGCTCATGGAGAACATCAGCAGCTGGCGCTCCTTCGCAGACGCCCTGGGCTACGGGAGCCTGCCGCTCACCTTCTTCTGCCGGGCGGAGCTGGACAGTGAGCCCGAGCGTGTGGCCTGTGTCCTGGAGAAGCTGAAGGAAGACTGTAACAACCCCGAGAACAAAGACCGCAAGTCCTTCCAGAAGGAGCTCGTGATGGTGAGTATGTGGCGGGAGCGGGCCCCTCTCCACCCCACGGCCACTCTGGGATGGCGTCCCTGGGGCAGATCTGTGGCTGGGCTGGGTCCAGAGCTGCCCAGGAGGAGACCACCTGGGTCTGTGTCCCCACTGCCTTCGTGGCTCCTTGGGGGTCTTGGAATGGAGCCGGTGGGGTGCGGGCGCAGGGCCTGTGCTCGGCACCCCTGGGCCACTTGGGAACAGGTCCCTGTGGGGGGTGTGGCTCAGCAGTGGCCAGGACCCCTCTCCACCGCCCGGTTTGTCCGGGTGATTCTCACCCTGTCTCCTCCTGCTCCCCCTCCACTGCTCTCCCTCCTCCCTTTCCTGGGTGCCTTAGATTGGGGGTGGGTTCAGCCTTTGCTTGGCCAGCACACACAGCAGACCACGGGGAGAGTCCTGAGTTTTTAAGTTTCAGGGATCACCTCCGATTGATCACCTGAAACCTCACCCCTCCATCAATCCCAAGTTCTAAGGAATGAACGGGGGACAGGTCACATTGTGGATGGGCGCTGACCACAGACCACCTGGAGGCGCTTCCAGAGCTGTTTGCAAGTCCTCCAGTGGCCCGGGCTTCCCAATTCCGCTCCCTACAGGACCCCACCCCTGACTCTGGTAGTCACCCTTGGCTCCCTGGTTGTCCCTGGGATGGACATTGTCCCCTGAGCTCTCTATGTGACAGAAGTGGATTCAGCTGCATCCTGTAGGGGGGGACCTGTCCCTCTGTGGGAAGCAGTCGTGACCTTGCGGGTCCTCTCCCAGTTCCTGCTGATCCAGCAGCCCTCCCACCCCCTGTCCTAGTAGGAGCCGCTCCCGGTGCCAGCCTCGCTGCCACTCTCCCACTCTCTGCCTTCGCCCCACACCTGCCCTCTGCAGTGCATCTCCACACACGGCAGGTGCACCTGAACTGACCTACCTGAGCACCCAAGGGTCACGCCCCCCCACATCTAGCTGCCCCCTTGGAGCCACGGGCCTCTGTCTGCAGAGAGCATGTGTGGCAGCCTGGTAGGCAGCGGCATGGGAGGAGACCCTGGACAGAGGCCCACAGTACTGCAGGGTGCAGAGCATGGGGCCAACCTCGGAGGTTGCCGGGAGGGAGACGGGCAGTTAGAAGGGCAGCCTGGACAGCCAGGAGGTCCTGGGCAGTGGTGGCAGTGGCTTCATTGGAAGGAAGCCGAGGCTGGTTAGTGAGTGGAGGCAGCAGGGAACCTCTGTGGGACTTGGGTGGCTCACCYCCAGGGGTAGCGCAGTGCTCTCTCCAGCTGCTGCCCCTCTGCCCTGCAGCACACCCCCGTCCACCTGTAAAGCAGACCCGGAGCTTGTGGGCACCAGGCACAGCATGAAGTCCAAGAGCTCACCGGGGCTCTGGCAGGTGATGGGGAAGGAGGTGGCTCACCTTGCCCAGCTTCACTGGAACCCTCTCACCACTCGGGCCTGCCTGCTGGCCTTGACCTCATAGTTGGTCATGTTGGAAAACATGCAGACTTTGAGGTCCAGGTCTCTGTGGCTGCACCTGGCTCTGCTGTGCTCCCCGGGAGATCCCTGAGGCTGTGTTCCTGCTGATTGTGGAATTAGGTGCCTTCATAGAACATAAACGATATTGATTGTTCTTTGCTGAGGAACGTGAGTGGGCAGAGGTGAGAGACAGATGGCACACAGTTCCCACTGAGGACAGTGACAGGGTGGCTTTTATGCTCAGTTCCAGTTACTTAAATGACCAAACTTGTTATATTCCATTGGTGACTTTGGAGAGGATTTCTGTCTCCTTGAGTTGGTCGGGAGGGTTGGGGGTTTTGTGTGCCTCTGAGCCCCCTCCACCCTCCTCTGCCCAAGGACGGGAGGCCATCTTGACCTTGTCTTACTTTTGCTGAGGCAAGGTGAGTCTCTCCAATCGAGTGAAACTGACCTTGCAGTGCCCTCCCACCATTGCCTGGCACAGCCACCACCCTGGAGCCAGAAATGTTGGCCGCGGTCCCAGAGCCACGGCTGGCTTCTCCGGGCACTGGCAGCGGGCGGCATTGCCCAGGCTTCTGATCCCTGGCGAGTTGGGCTCCTCCAGCCATAGTCCTGCTCCCAGGAGTTCCAGCCGACCCCCACCTGCTTCCCGTCTTCAAGATGCCTTCTGTGTGGTCACTGGGATCCCTGGCTTAGTAAGTGGTGTCTCAGTGACCTAGGAAAAGAGGTTGCCACACAGGGAAGAAGAAGGTGCCACCAGCCAGGGTTGTCCACCTCTTCATGGCTACCAACTCTTCCTGCCCCCAGGCCTGCAAGGCTTGTCCTCCCCCACCACCATCCTGGCCACCCAGCTGCCAAAATGGCAGAGGATGAGACCCAACCCTGATGACAACCCAGGCCTTGTTGATGGAAGGGGGATGATGCTGGGGGAGTGGCACCAGGGTGGACAGCCCTGGAGCCCTGGGGTGGAGAAGGCCTGGGAGGGTCTCTGGCTGGGCAGGCCCTGACGTGGGCACCGTGTGTTTGAAGATCTGAGAAGTCAGAGTGTCGTTGAGGTGGGCTGGGGCCACCCAGGGGTRGTGAGGGGTCTTGGCCACAGCTTCGTGCAGAGCCAGGAATGGGTGTGGGCTCGGGCCCCACTGGACGTCACCGCCTGCTGCTGGGCTCTCCAGGACCCTGGGCTTTCCTGTGAGACAATCTTGGCCTGAACTTCTGTGGGAGCCCAGGACAGGTGAAGGCGAGGAGATGAGAGGCCAGTGGGGCCTGAGGCTGGGGTGGCCACGGGAAGGCGGTCAGCTTGCCGTCACAGCCTGGGCAGGGCCAGGCAGGCCGAGAGCCGTGGAGCGGGGCTGCGGTCCTGCGGCTTGGCAAGGAGGGGCTGAGGTCATGGAATCAGGGGCCGGGGGCAGGGTGGAGCCCCTTGGGTGGTGAGTGTTCTCCCTGTCACCTGTGGGCCCTGGGAGGGGTCCGTGTCGAAGGGGAGACGGTGGGGACGTGACGAGATCTGCTCCTGGTCCCCCGCAGCTTTTGAGTCCAGGAGCATCCCTGCCCCTTGACCCTGGCAGGCTCCTGCCGGCGCCTGAGGCGGCTTTTCCCCTCTCACTTCACTCCTGGCGGTCGGGGGTGAGGGCCCTGCCGCCCTGGCCTTTCTTGGCCCCGACCAGCCATGACGGGAAGCTCTGTCTTGGTGCCCTAGGCCGTAGCTGGTGGCTGCCTCGTCCAGCTGTGGGAGATGAACGGGGCGTCGTGGGTGCCCTGGAGACGACTCTCCTGTGAGAGAGAAGGGGAAGGCGTTACTGCAGGACGCACACTCAGGAGGGATGCAGAGCGGAGCAGGGACTGAGGTGTCCCCCAGACACTGGAAAGCTAGAGGGGAGGGGCCGTAGAGGGCTGGGGGTGCCTGTGAGTCGGGAAGCCCACCTTATCCTGCAGAGGAGCAGTCCCCAGAGACTGTGCCTTAGCCAGGCACATGAGGGTCCCCTCCAGGAGGCCTGGGGCGGCCACACTGCTGACTGCGCTGTTAGTCCAGGAGGGAGGGCCAGCGGGCCGTCAGCCACCATGGTGGGTGAGGAGGGCCTCTCTCCCAGAGCTCGGGCATCTTGGGGACAGAGGCCGGTGGAGCAGCCGGACAGCAAACCCAAAGGGCCCCTCCCTGTGCTTCCTAAAGCCTCTGACCAGGCTGGTGCGGAGGCCTCGGCCGCCTGCTCCTGGGAGTGTCTTCCCACTGGGCCCTTTGTCTGCCTGCATCTAGAGCAGCCTCGGGCCCTGTCTGCAGAGAAGTCACAACAGCCTGTGGCCCACAAAGCGAGGTGGAGTTTGCTTACCCCGACTTAAATCATAGTTCCCACAAACTAACACCATTCCCGTGACGTCGGCATTGTGTGGTCTCACTGGGTGTTTTCTGGCTCACCTGTGTGTGGGAAAAATGAAGAGGAAGTCTCAGGGCTGGGGTCCCAGAGTGGAGCTTCCTGCTGTGAACCGTGTCCCTTGCTCAGACGTGGCCCCCGACCCTGTGGGCAGCCTGGTAACCAACCGAGCTAACGCTGGGCTGGTGGCATCTCCTTTCCAGAGCTGGCCAGAGAGTAGACTGGCTCCGCTTGCCTGGGCCAGGAGTAGCTCGACTCCTAAGCAGGTGACTTTGACTTGTCTCGCTACCTGGAACGTGAGGCACCCGCATCTGGTGTGGTGCGAGCAGCTGAATGGGAACACCTGGTAGCCACGCGTCGGCCTCGTGGTCCCCTGGCGCCCAGCAGCCCTGCACACACCCACCCCCACTCACACGAGCACAGACGCTTAGACGATCTTTTCCTCTTTCTACGCCTAGTAAACATTTTATTTTCTTAAAACAATTTAGTTCTAATGTATCAAAGTTCAAATGGATATCAACCACTTTCTTAAATCGTCGGTAGTTGAAATGAACCGTAACCCGTGCGGACCAGGGTTTTATTGGCTCAATTCCTGATGTCACTGGTGCCCCAGAGCTGGAAGGGCCAGTGGCCTGAGCCCCAGGAGGCCTGGACCTGCCTCCACTCTGCGCCCCCAGCTGTGGGGCCTGGACAGGACACAGGAGGGGGCAGGCGTGTCTGTGGCTTGTCTGTAAAACAAGACCCTGGTGTCTGGGCCACACCCCAGCAGCTGGAGGCCAGTGTGACTCTCACCTTCCGGGCTCTGGAAGCCCATTCACTGTCCCCCGTGTGAGCTGCCCCATGGGGCAGAGTTGGCACCTACTTCAAAGGGCGGCCTCTTATCCTAAGGACTTRGTCATGGTGGCCCCCAGTCCACACGGACCTCATCTTAGCTGCAAAGCCCGTTTCCCAGTAAGATCCCTTTCTGAGGCTCTGGGACCTGAACCTTGGAGGGAAATGGTGTCCAGCCCTGACCACCCTGCACACTGTCCCGTCCCTGCTGGGAGCYCGCAGTGCTCATGGGGCCAGGGGATTTCCACAACCTCAGAGCTGCGGGTGACAGCACCCCTCCACCTGGGCATTCACCGTGAAGCCAGGCCCGACTCTGTCCCCCTCACGCTGTGCCTCTCGCTCCCCAGGCCTTACTGAAGATGGACTGCCAGGGCCTGGTGGTCAGGCTCATCCAGGACTTTGTGCTCCTGACCACAGCCGTGGAGGTGGCGCAGCGCTGGCGGGAGCTGGCTGAGAAGCTGGCCAAGGTCTCCAAGCAACAGATGGACGCTTACGAGTCTCCCCACCGCGACAGGAATGGGGTGGTGGACAGTGAGGTGAGCGAGGCCCGGCTCCCCGGTGACTGGGCTCCCAGGACCCTGGGTGCGGTAGTGGCAGGTGTGGCCGTGGCACCAGGTGAGCCACGCCCGAGCCTGGCCCGCAGAGCAGAAGCAGTCGGGGTGTCCTGGGGTCGTCTGGGGGAGGCCTCCCGCAGAAACGGGCCGGGCAGATGCCGCCCTCCTCTGCGCGTTTCTCCGCGGACTCCTCTCACCCCTGCTGGGTGTCTAGGGACTGAGGCAGCTGCACTGACCCCCACACCCCCCCTAACCTGTCTCTCCTTTCCCTGCTTTTGCTCTCTGGGACTCCATCTCCCAGGCCATGTGGAAACCTGCCTATGACTTCTTGCTTACCTGGAGCCACCAGATCGGGTACAGCTGCCAGAACATCATGTACGGACTGCACATTGGCATGGACAAGATAAAAAGCCCCATCACCAAGCGCTGGAAGCACCTCACGGGGACGCTGATCCTGGTGAACTCGCTGGACATCCTGCGCGCAGCCGCCTTCAGCCCCGCTGACCACGATGACCTGGTCATCTGAACAGGCGCCCTGGGCACAAGGCTGCGAGCGCAGGGCCCTGTGCTGTCACCAGGGGCGGTGGGGAGCGGGAAGGCTGCTCCCACGGAGGGGGTCGCCACCCAGCCCCAGGCTGGGGACAGGGACACTCTGCCCTTCTCTGCGTCCAGGGACAGCCAGGGGGCTTTCTACTGCAGGTTGTTGCCAATCAAATAGCTTTCTATTTGTGTAAGTGTGAATTAAATTCAAATCACTTTTTTAAAAAAGACCAGGGAAGGAACCTGAGAAAGGTGGGATCTAATTTTTTAATGGACTATAAAGATTAAAAAAATCCTAGTAGGGGCAGATGCTGTTGAGGTTTTTATGTTGTYGAAACACTTTTTAAATTATGTTACAGATGTATATAGGTATTTAAAGGCCGTGGGTGCTTCTGCTTCCCAGCCCGCGTCTCCACCCCAACAGGGAGGGACGGCTCTGTGGGCTCCTTCTCACTTCCTGCCCCCACACACGCAGGCCAGTCGGGCGGCAGGGTGGGTCTTCAGTGAGTGGACAGCCCACCCGTGCTCCCCACCTGCGGCCACTCCACCAACATTTCTGTGGCCCTCTGCCTTTGCCTCTTGCTATAGTCAGTGACCATCCACAGAGCATGGCAGTCTCTGTGGGCTTCGGTGGGTGGGCAGTTACTCCCCACAGTATGCCCTTGAGATGTGTCCACCAATAGCTTAGAGAGCAGCTGGAAGGTGACATTCCTGTGGCCCCTGCCTGTGTGCAATGAGTCATTCAAAAGAACGTGCCACTGGACGTGAGGAGGTCCTGCAGCTCTTGACCATCATGTGGTGTGTCCCTTGGGGGCACAGGTGCTCTGCAGCCCCGGGGTAGACAGAAAGACTCACCACCCGACCAGAGCCAGGAGGCTCCATGCTCCCAGAGACCCAGGTCACCTCCCAGGTGGTGCTGTGCACCGGGTGCAGAGGTGACAGCTGCCAGACTCCACATTTCATTTTGTCTACGTCGAACACTTCTCCCCTCCCGGTGCACCCGCGTCTCCTCTGAAATGCATCATGTCGATAAAAACAGTTTGGGCACAAGGTCCAGACCGTCCRGGCGGGTTGAACATTTTCCCACACACAGTCAGGAGCTTGGGTTGTGCYGGGTGGAATCCCGCCGCCACCTGGTAGCTGCAGCCCCTAGGAAGGAGCGAGAGGCAGGACTAATGCTGGTGGGTCCCAGAGTKATGGCCCCAGTCAGGGCGTCCACCTGGGGGACGCCGAGCCTCGCACTTTCCTGACACATGTTACTTAGTTAATGGACGTGTAATCCCCTGTTCGGCTGGAACACTGTCACGCACCACTGATGGCGGCACTCAAGACCAACCGACAGAAATACAARCACTCCATACTTCATGCTGCAAGAATAAAGCCACATGAGTCCCCCATCATCGCACAGATGACCTTACGTCCTTCCTCCGTGCTCCTCACCCTCATCTGCCCAGAGATCATCTCTCACCTTTTCCCCAAAGACGACAAACCAGTTGCACCTTAAACCATGGGTATTTTTCCTCAGGGGCTTTAAATAGTTTCCTATGCAACGTGTCTTGTAGCACAAATCAAATTCTACAAAAGTTGCAGTAAATTTTATTTGGATATTTTAACCTGTTAAGTGTGTGTGTGTGTGTTCTGTCCCCATCCAGTGGAACTTTAAGTAAAACAAAAGCACAGTCTACTTGTGCACCTGTGCAGACTGACGGCCCCTCCCCTGAGCCCCCATGGCAGTGACGGCTGGAGGGGGAGCCCTGTTTTCCCACTGTTAATTGTACTGCTCTCGAAACAGGTCACTGCCCCACACTGACAGGGAGTCTGTGTCACCAGGAGACAAGTTGGAGTCGTGCCTTGTTCTTGGCCCATGTCCCTGGAGGTGGCAGCCCCCAGCTCCTTAGGTGAACCGCAGGGCTGGCTGGCTGTCCCTGTGTGTGCCAGGCATCGCCTGGGGGTGCTCAGTCCTGGGGGTGTTCACTGCAGCGGGCTCAGAGCCCCCACCCCAGAAGTGCTGCGCTGCTGGGGAGAAGAACAGGCACAGGGCCTCTCCTGGAGGTCAGGGGAGGGCGGGTGCTGTATGGAAAGCCTTTGAGAATGACTTCAACCCAGGGTCCAAGCTGGGGTGGGCACCAGCTGGACCAAGACAGACGTGGGGAGAGCAGGTCAGGGTACGGCACAAGAAGCGGCGTTGACACAGGATGCCTGGGGCAGGGAGCGGGCCGGAGCGCCCCCACGGAGGGCTCGGCACAGGAGCAGAAGCCCTGGAGCTCGGCGCTCTCCTGTACATAGCCTGATTCCAGCTGCTGAAGTTGGATCTGCAGCATCCCAAAGGCCCACGTGGTAAGGACTGGGTCCCCAGAGTGGCAGAATTGGGAGGAGGAGGAGCCTTYGAGAGGTGGGGCCCAGGGAGAGGAGGTGAGGCTGTTGGGGCATACCCTGGAGGGGATTGTGGGACACACTGGTTTCCTCCCCTATTGGACATCTCTGGGCCACGAGGTAGATGGGCCTCCTTTGCCATGTGCCCCCTGCTATGTTGTGCTGTGCTGCCCAAAAGCAGCAGAGCCCATCAATTAAGGACTAAAACCACCAAAAACTGGGGCAATAAATAAATAAAAACCTTTTCTCTGTAAATTATCATCATTTCTGGATTTTTGTTATAGTAGCAGGAAGCTATCGCCAGAGGTACCAGCTCCTACGTGTCCTCACACACATTTTACAGTTAAGGACACACTTCCGTGTGGTCTCATAACTTGCATGAAGCTGGTAAGAAAGGGAGCTTAGGGGAACCAGAAATGCATTCTTTCTTGGTTCTGGAGGCCAGAAGTCCAAACCCAGACTGTCTTCACTTGACTGCATCTGCAGAGACCTGGGTCCTGAGGGTGGGAACAGCTGCAGGTCTCGGGGTTCAGGCTTCCAACACATCTGGGTCGCACCCTCTCTCTCTCTTGGCCCAAGGAACTCCGTCAGACTCTGCAGTCTGTTGATGCTGATCTTGACGCTGATAATCATAAATACAAGTGATGGAATTTGTAGGGGCTCTTTAGGACCAAATATTCAGGGGAAAGACTTGGTTGAAAAGATTTGTTCTCTGGTTTGTGGAGGGAAGATTGTGTCCCTGATAGATTCTCACCTTGATCTTTCCCGGTGAAGTCAGAGCACGTGCCAAGTCATTTATTTTGCAGCGGCCAGCACCTGCTGAGTATCGACAGCTGCAGTAGCAATCAGATGTGGGCCTGTACCCAAGTCCCCTCTCCTCCAGCGGCCACCAGGTCCCGCAGCCATTCCTAAGACCTCTTCTTTCTCCCTTTGCCCTCCCTGCCACAGTGTCCCAACACCCACCTCCTGTGCCCAGCCTGTGGCCCTCTCCTGTCCCTGCCAACGTCACCACACATGAGCCCTTTGATGACGGCTCATCTCTGAGTCCCAGGAGCACATGCCGCAGGAGAGAATTGGTCCTCACTGTGACAGAAATGAGTTTCGAGAGTGAAATGGCTCGGGCTGTGGGCTTCATGCTGTGTTTACCACCAACATGGAAAATAAGTGCAGAGGTGTCCACCAATGAATCGGAACAGCCTGGATTCTGGGAGGTCTGAGGGCCGTCGCAGGGAGGGAGCTCCGTGAAGTACACACCAGACACGACGTTTCTTAATACATCATTTTTTGGCACAAGGGGAATGTTTTCAGTTTAGTCCAGTTTTATGCAAAATAGATTGAAATGAAGCTACCTAACCCTGCTGTGGAGCCCTTGGGCCATTTGAGAAAGGCAACAGCGCCTCAGAATTATGTAAATGCATAAAATAAAACCCGGGTGAACAAAGGAGAGCCGTCTTATTTACACAGTTACCAAAGATTCTTTTTCTAATTGTGCTGCAGTAACGGGGCTTCCTGGTGCAACGTGAGCAGGCTAGCCGTGGGCCCCGCCTCCCCGAGAACACAGGTCTGCAGGGTCAAGTTCTCTGGAGGCTCCTGCATCTCCCAGGAAATGCTCATGTTCGGCTAGAGGTCGATGAGAGTAAAGAAATCCTTTCACCCTTGTTGCTGTGAAAAAGAAAGGTCTCCTCCGAGGGACACGAGCCACCCCGGCCTGCTGGCACGCCGTTTCAGAGTCGCTGGGTCAGTGTTCTGTGCTCCTCACTGGCAAYGGGGGTTTCTTAAAGATTTGGTTTTCTGATTTAATTTTCTTCCTAATGGAGGAGACAGAAGGACCTCATGGGCTGTGGATGGGTTTTTAAGCATCTTAAGTCATGTTGCTTAATTTTCCATTTTAATTTGTTTACTTCCTTTAAGAATACCTGTGTGGCTCACAGTCGTGTACTGACTGCGGACGGGGACGAATTCTTCACTTTGGGGAGCAGGGAAAGTCTGCCCACGCCACGCCRCCAGACGAAGCTGGGGGAGGGGGCAGGCACTGCTCCTCGGCCTGTGTTAACCGATGGCCCTCCTGGGCAGGTGGGGCGTCCAAGGGGCATCCAGGGAAGAAAGGGCCAGTTCCCGGCTGCCAGCGTTTATGCATTTGCGACCGTCAGGCCCAGAGCAAACACGGGAGCACAAGCAAGGTCCACCAATGTCCGCCGAGCGGCCAGGCAAGGGGAGGGCGCCTGCCGTGGCCCATGGGAGCCCACGGGGCCACATGCCAGGGAACAGCGTTAAAAATCAGATTCATAGTAGGTGTGAGGTCAGGTAAAGGTACGTGCTGTGGGGAAAGAGGTGGCTTACAAGGACCCCAGGGCCAGAGGAGCAGGGTGACCCTGGAGGGCCTCTGACCCGCAGGTCCCAGTCCACGGTTCAACTCACCATATAAAGGAAGTATCTGGAAGGGCTGGGGATGTGGTCAGTGCTGGAGCGCCTGACCGTCATGCTTGAGGCCCAGGGTTCAATCCCCAGCACAGGGTGGGGGGTTGGTACATGGAGGAAAAGTCCCATCTGCCCCGAGAAGGTGCGCGGTTACTCCTTGTCATTGTTCCTGTCCATACGCCGTCAGGACTGCTCGTTCACAGAGCATCCACGTCCTTTGGAGCGGGATCTGGAGATGGTCTAACGCACCCCAGGAGATATGCCAAGGTTATGTGCAGACACGCCACTCTATAGATGGGATTAAGCCCCTGGGATCTTGGAATCTGGGGGGTCCTGGATCAATCCCCATGCATACCCCTCAGATCCTGTACTAAAGGATTTCTGGAAAATCCCCCAATACTTGGAAATCACACACTTTAAA